GGGAAAGAGAAGTAAAATCTGGAATAATGGCAAGATTCCTTTTTTTTTTTTCAAATGTCAACGAAGTAGCGTGGTCCTTTCGAAAACAGAAACAAGTGCATGAGCAGCTCATAAACTGTGAAAACACCAGGGTCAAGGACAGCCTGGGTGTAAAACAAATGAATTCCCAAACACTAAAAAAGCCACTTAAACAAGAATGCAATGCTGATTTATATTACAGTGTGAAGGATCAGCCCTCCCTGGCTTGGCATTATCAGTGCATTGTCTATGGCTGAGGGATAGGTCTTCATGCTCCGGAGAAGACGTGGACAAAAACCTGAGAGGGAAAGGAGGAAATAATAACAGGGCATGTTATGAAAATGTTACAAAAGAGATGTCCTCTTGGATGGTGGCGCTGCATGGTAACAGCTATATATTACTCAGCTCTTCATAAAAAGCTGCTTTTATACAATGATGGGGACCTTGTACATTCAAAGCAACAATAAGCAAATGAAAAGATGAGGCATGTCTGTACTCATCAAACCCAAGACTCATTCAGTCAACCTACAGTTAGCTGAACTTTGGTAAAATGTACTTACATGGTATTTTGCTCTGATATTAACAGGCATTCTTTTTCTATTTACCACATCACATCTATCTCCAGAACACTGAACATCTATGTTTTGCTCAGCAACATCTTTAAAAACATGCCCATAATACATGCGCTGTCAGATCTTTGTGTGTCTTGAATTGTAACCGTCTTACAAGGCAAATCTGGATCTTCTCTTTCTCATGAATGTCTGGATATTATGGAAAGGGCAAATTCAGAAAAAGTGCTGTATTTTAAGACAGGGTAGGTGCAATATCAGGTATGCACATCTAAAGTTAACCCTATTTACATACAAGAGCCACGTTTGATCAAGAGTGATTTTCATGACTTGTCTCATCCATTAAATCATATGGCTCTGTCTCTCACCACTCACCCACCCTCCAGCCCCACACAGCAATGGTGTATATAAATGGTAATAATGCAGCATCTCAATACTATATTTCCTCTCTCTTCTATTATATAGTGTAGGGTGCATATTGCTCTTTTTTTTTTTAGGTTGTCCTGCTATGGCTGCTGCTAGAGACCATGTAAAGCCCTGGCCAGCAGCTTTGTCAGGATGCTAAATGGAGGGCCGTGAGTTTAAAAACTTAAAGAGGCAGTGAAATATTAGCCAATGTGGGTGAGGAATGAGTGGCTGAGAACCACGGCATGTCAGTGTTTAATGGTCGGACTCGGATGCATACAAGTTAGTCCAAGCATGAAGGGCAGTGGGACGCTAGCGTGGAAACGATGTCCCCTCCGCTCCTTCCCATCCCTCCTCCCATCCACACACGTTCACACACATGTATTCTCACACCGCACCCACACAGCTTTTAAGCGGGGAGCCCATCAAAAACTTGTCATTTCTCTCATTCACTCCGACAGCCTTGAGACACAATGCAGACTTACCTCTGTGTTGTACACCCCATATATCAGGAAGATGAACAGGCCCTGCAAACACAGACAAAGAAAGGGAGTGAGACAGAAAGAGAGAGAGAGAAAGAGGAGGAGGACAAAGTTGTTACAGTTGTTTTCTCTCTTAACCTCTTCTAAAAAAACAAGGATCAAATGTAATGAGTGGAGCAACATATACCGATTAAGTTGATCTGTACTCTATCATGGCTACTGTGTGCAGAGCTGAGGCAGACTGTAGTGAAAAGTATAAGAGAGGAAGAGCAGAGTAGAATAGAGTAGAGTAGGTACTTTATTGATCCCACAGTGTTCTGTGTTACAGCAGCAATAGAGAACAACCAGCATAACACCATAAGAACAGACACATAAGAACAGAACTTCATAAAAACACAAAAAAGAACACAAGGACACAGCTGCTGTAACTTGCTGCCACTCCACGCAGCGCATGCATACGTAAGTACGTAGTAACAAAGAAAACTTAGTCTTAAAATAAAAAGTTACATAAAGGCAACAAAGCAATAGAACCGATACACACAAGTAGCGTCATCAGAACGTTACATTTTACACAGCACAATATAAGCAAATCAAAGGCACCTAAAAACAGGGCAGAGCAGCACTGGAGAGAATCAGGAACAGCAGTAGAGACTAAACAACCAGGAAATCAAGAACAATCGAATATTACTCACACAATTAATCCCACAATGGGGGAGAGAAACCTGTGTTTCAGCCATAAGGATCTCTGAGCAACTACTCAAAAATACCTAAAGCAGGGCAATGTACAGTATTTGAGAGAAATCAGGAAGCAGGACTTGAAAGAGTACAACTTCTCCAAACTGGGCCACCTCAGCTTGCGTTTGTTTCGACTACAATATTTGTGCTTCTCATTCCAGCCCCCAGCCCCCCCCCCCCCCCACAACCCCCCCCCACAAACCTCAACAAAGGCTCAAACCCAAGGTTTCATACAACTTTATAGAAATAGAAAATCTCAAGTGTCTGTGTTCAGTCTGTGTTGCACAACACAGAAACACACAATACAGGGTATGACTGAGTGCAAACATGCATATACACAACACAAAAAAAAGAGTTCAAGCTCACACAGAAAAGCACATGCATTCACATACACAGCACAGGCAACAGACACGTATGGTCCTAAATTATAAGGAAACAAATACAGTATGACCAAAAACATATCAAAAGACACACACACACACACACATAAAGAGTGCAACTCAGGCCAGATGAGGCTATCAAGGAAAACTATTGGAGGAAAGCGGGAAAAGAGAGAGACAGACAGAGCATAATGAAAAAAATGGCACATAAAAAAAGATATTTCATGTTCACAAAACTCCACAGCTAGTACCCAGGGCCCAAGAATGCCATGTCCTTGGATGCATAAAGGCTGCATTTTTGGTCACAGAAAAACAGCTATTTTTCATTCCAATCTATTGTGGCATCCTTTGAATGTACAAGCTGTGCATTTGCCCTCGGGCCATAATGTAACCCTGTTGCCTCAATGGAAACAATGAGAACAACATTCTCAGAGCACCAAACGAACTGTGCGACAAAAGATGTACTGAGAAAAATGAAAAGGCAAGTAAAATCCTATAAATTTCGAGGCTAACAGATACAATAGATTCTTTGATAAGCAAACCATACACTGACATGGGTCTAGCTGATACACAAAAATTAAAAAAAAAACTTTCTGAAAAGTGCATCTCTCCCTTTTCACTGCTCAGAGTGTCCCTGTGTTGCTTCATCTTCAAGCGAGGGTAAGGACATATCCCGGGGACACGCAGGCACAACCTGGTCAGGCAGACACAACCTGCATCAATCAAGTTGAGTTTGGAGCATCCAATTTTTGCCAGAGGGAGATCTCAATGCATCACCATTGACAACATGATTTGGGGGCCTATTCAGAGTGACAGGCTGACGATGGCCAACGACTACGACCTCTAGCCCAAGCTCCTGCCTGTTCACCTCCTACAGGCTGCTCTCCTGTCCTCCAGGGACTGAACTGTCCTGTCTGTCAGGTGACACTTTAAGACATTCATCCCCTTTAAACTGACAATTCTCCTGGTCTCTGACATGCTGAAGACAACATGTATAACATGGGATCTAAAGCGGAGATCTGAGACATGATTTTATTTCTAACTTTGTTAATTTCAAGAGTATGTAGTGCTGGCTACAACCCAATGCAGTACAGAATGTGACATACTAAAACCCTGAGGGGACTGGCAAAGTTGGTGACCAAGACCAGTGACTGCATAAGTGCTACTAAAGCTAAGAGCTCTGGCTTTCAAAACTCCTTGTGTGGTTCATACTTTAACTCCCAACTTCCACTCAAGTCAAGTAACTTTTCATGGTTCCAAATGATTAGTGACAGAGGATGATACTGCAGAAAATAACCCCTACAGAACAAAATGTTTTGGCTGCAAAGCCTTTTTCTCAATCACAATCAGAAACAAAGTTGTGTTGTGTGCAAATAACATCATTAAGGACTCCACTCGCACCCACCATGAGATGTTCTCTCTGCTCACCTCTGCAGGCAGTATTGCAGGCTCAGGAGCAGACCAGCCAGGTTCTGTAACAGCTTCATTCTCCAAGCCATCAGGCTCTTGAACGCTCTATAACACTATGCCCTCTGCAAACCACACACTCACAATGGACTTGTCCCTGGACTGCGCTTTATACTGGGGCACAACAAAATACAGCTGGGATAAATGCACTGGAGTGCAATGTTTTCTAGTGCGTAAACACACTATTACCTTTTATTTGTTATTATTTATAATTGTTTTTCATTTTTAGCATTTTGCCATTGCAGTATAGTTATTTTTTAGACAAATGCAACGAAATTTTGTTCTTATGTGCGCTGCTGGTGTATATTTGAATGACAATATCGTCAGTCCATCTATCTCTCTCTCTCCATCTGTCGGACTTATTGTTGAGGCCATATACAGACCACTGTAGCAAAAAATGATTGTGGAGCTGCAAAGGTGGAAAGCTGTCCTATACACTTTCATAACATGGCAAATTTTAACCTTTTTCCAGCAATCTTTACTCATTAACAGTACAGTAAAGAATAGATATTATTTGATGCCACTCTTATTAATCAGCTTTACTAAGCTACGCT